AGGGCATAGGAATATTCTCTATTTTTTCCTGTACTCTTCTGTTCTTTCAAGATTCATCAGGATATATATTCTTTTTATGGGGACATCCACATATTTTTGGGTTGGAATTCCATTCTTCTTTCACTATTGTTGCTGATAGCAAGATCATTTTGCTCATACCATTTTAGCTCTTCCTTATATGTCCATATAAGAAAGTCCATATGCCCAAGGGGAAATGGTTAAATAGATTAGCACATAATTGATTAAGTCAGCAAGTAAGAAAAGTAATGGTAGGAAACTCAAAGGTGTTTTTCAAGCGGCAACTGGACTTTGTTTTCTTTGAAGAAATTTCGCTTCTTATCCAAGAAGCTTCTTCAGCTCTGACTGGATGGTGGGGAATGGAAGGATTTATATTCATTGCAGACAGCTGGTCATTTGCATTCTTTTACTGAATTGTTGAGGCAACTTGGAGGTTTAATCTGTGTCGTCAATGTCACCTGAATAATGCAAATGGGAGTCTTCTTGGAAGCTTCTTGGATGAGAAACAAAACGTCTTCAAAAAAAACAACAACAAGAAAGTTCAGTTTTCTCTTTAAAAAGCACCTTTGGGACAACCATGATCTGGATGACTGAGAATCTCCAGAGACATTTAGCTATGCACTTTAGGATAATGGTAGGAAACAACTGGAGTTTTAATAGCTTTCTGGACAGACTTTTCTTAATGTAAAAACTGTGAAAAAGTTCTTGCTCCTCTATTTAAGTTTAATCAGAAATGTGGCCTTAATAGAATTTAGCAAGCAGCTACACAACTTATTGTCTACATTTACTCTTTCCACTATGGTTGCAATTATAATAGGTGCAATACTACATTTGATGTTAGCCAACAGATCAAAGTCTCAAAATGTTCTTCTTGACTGCCTCATTTTTGTCCCTGCTCTTACAATAATGTAAGAGGCAGAGTTTGTCCTGCAAATCCACACTATGCATTTTATCACTTTTCCCTGCTTCTAACTCTGTTTTTGGATGGCTATGTGTCCTTTTAGTTTGCTAAGCAAAAATATGGAAGTTATGCCTTTAGATATTTTTTCAGTTTCCCAATATATGTACAGGATTGACATTTCGTGGTGATCTCCCATCCAAATATAATCAGATTTGACTCTTTTTTTTTTCAATTCAGCCAAGGTTAATAGGCACTGCTACCTTGCTTGCCTTTGGCCATATTAAAAATTATTTAACTCCTCAGGTAGTATATTGTTTCTTTTTTCAAAATTATTTAGGCCAGGAATGGAAATCATATTTTGACCCAAATCCACTTCAAGCATAACTCTTTAAGAACCCCCTCATTTGCCTGAAAATACAAGAGTTTGAAAATCAGAAGAAAGTAGGTCACATATGCTGGCCCCTCCTGTACTTCTCCAATTTCTATACATTCATTTAGGACATCTGAAGAAGTAAATTTGGGGAGTCCTTAGCATTTTATTTCTGTTTTGTGTTGTATCAGTTTTCCTTAACTGATACTATCCAAACAGCTGGAGAAATTCCAGTAATTGCCAGCCAGCAGAGTGTCAGGCCCAGCTGAAAAATTACCTAGAACAATCCAGCCAAAATTTAGCTCTTTATTTGCTGAGATAGATAGATAGATAGATAGATAGATAGATAGATAGATAGATAGATAGATAGATAGATAGATGATAGATAGATAGATAGATAGATAGATAGATAGATAGATGATAAAAAGAAAGAGAGAAAAGAGAGAGAGAGAGAGAGAGAGAAAGAAAGAAAGAAAGAAAGAAAGAAAGAAAGAAAGAAAGAAAGAAAGAAAGAAAGAATCTTGCCAGACTAAACCAGTACTATTCTCTCCCTAAAGGATATTTCCTGGGAGATTCTAGGGAGTGGCTTTCCTAACTCTTTCTCCATCTCTTGATCCAGCACCAGGCTATGTTGCTTCTTGTCTCACCTCCTCCCCCTCCCAACTGAAATGTACTCCTTTCTTCCTGTGAAATTGCCACTTGCTATAGTCCACCACACTACCTTCCCCATTCATTACACATAGTCAGACTAAAATTGTGGTAGTAAAAGTCTCCACTGAAATATAATGAGATATATGACATACAAAGATTTTCATAAATAAATTAAAATTTAAAAATAAAGAAGTGGGAGGGGACAATAGAGCTATCTTTTTATATTGAGCCTTAATTTTATCCACTTATAAATCTGACACTACAAAGTAACATGAAACTACTTTTGTACATAGACACTGTTTTCTAAAGTAGTACAATTCACATAAATATTATATCTGTTCATTCTCCCTTTTAATTCATCTGCACTGTTTCTAAATTCCTTTCTACTACTTTTTAATTCACAGAAGTAGAAAAGCAAGAATGCAACTGAATAAAGAGGAAGCACAAATGCCAGAACAGAAATTAGAGAGATCTTAATAATCAGTTCTCTCTGCTTTACTAATCTTCATTAAAGGAAACCCAAACTCTTTCTAAAAATACTTGTTCAGTTCATTGCAGTGTATTTATTTCTAATAGCTTTTTAAAATTCCTTAATGTTAATATCAATTTTAAAAAGAAGAAGCAATACAAAAATCATTTAAAAAAATGATTTTAAGAACATCTCTTGGGCACACATTGTCCAATAAGTTTGCTAATCCTATTTCACCACTATTTTGAAAGTAAGAATTCTCTGGCAGTAACTCAGCCTGGGTTATTTTCTAGGAGGAATTGACTCAGAATGGCTGTTGCAGAGGTGGAGGAAGTAGTCTCTGTTCATTTTATCATTCAAGTGGCAAACAGGAATTAAAGCCAATCAACAGGCTACCATCAAGAAGGGTAGGTGCTCTCTTTCAAAATGTATGAATTGCTGGAAGAAAGGGTAAGACATTTTGACAAATGGCAAATGTGTTCTCTTTTTTTGTGGGACTCTACAACCCTAATCTTGAGCAGTTTACTTGTAAATCAGGTAGGGCATCAAGACTGGAAAAGAAAACAATCCTGGTCAAGTTATTCGTTCATAAAAGAAGGCTATGTACTGTAAGGAGATTCTTTTAGATGATGAACACTAAAGCAAACAGAACTGCTGAAATTTCTTTCTGCTTTTTTAACATTTGCAGTTTGATGAAAAATGTTGTTTTTTTCCAAAGGAGAGAAACTTCTAAGTAAAAAGTTCAGGTATCCAGAACAGTGTTCTGTTCTCATTGCCTTACCCTTATAGAAGATTATGGCTTAAATGAGGGACGCTCTGCTATCCAGCACCATCCAGGAAAGGATGGAATTATAAAATTTTAAATTATAATTAATTAATGAAATGCAGGATCGCCAACATGATTGCCAACATCCGATAACGGATATGGCACAAGAAGAATGAAATGCAGATGAATTGATATCAGGTTTACTTTATGTCTTAGCCCAATCTATACTTTGGGGGAGTGTGTCTCCCCTTCTAGGTGTCAGTTCTTTAGGTAAGTAGAGCAACAAAATCTTCAAGTTAGGTACAGAAACATAATTTGAAAAACAGTCAGGGTTTTCTTATACTAAAGAAAATAAGGGCAGGTTATTTGGGGGGAGGGGATTTTCCTCCCTTATCTTGCCTCTTTCCAGGATTATGTAACCTTTTCTGGAAGCCCCCTCCCCCATTCACTCATTCCTTCTCTAACTCCAAGACCAGTATTCCTTCAGAATAGGCTGTTCAAAGGGCAAGTGCCCCAATTCAGAAAAAAATAAACTCATGGGGATACTTTTTGGAAAAAGGAAATGTGTTTTTATCCCTGCAAAACAAAATATTTAAGCTTTGGAATGTGTTATTCCTATAGTAAACAATTTCCTTGACAGAAGACCTCTGGACAAAACAGCAATTGTTAACTAACTGCTTTCCTTGCATGAACCCAAAGTCTGTATCTAGTTTACTATGCCGTTTTCAACACCCATCATCCAGATTTCTTGGCATAAAACATTGAAAACTCCTCTTTTCAGAGCTTACAGAAACTCATCTTCAGACTTCACAACGTAATACAAACAAATACAATACAATCATTGTTCAATAGTGTCAGCACAATAGCAGCAAGCGTGGAACATTTTCAGGATATCATGTAACCCAAAAAGTTTTCAAAATTTATAGATAAGTAGCCTTCTTTTTTGCAAATTTCCCAGGACATTTTACTGAAAACCACTTATAAATCTCTGAAATAAATAACCCCTTCATAGTTTTGTCTCAAGATGTAAATTGTCACAAACAATAATTTCATCTTTTCAGAGAAAAGAAAAGAACAGATCTTAGAAGTAAAAAAACCATAATGGTAACAATTAATTAATAGTTAATTAATTAACTTCTTAATTAATTTTCAGTTATAAGAAAAAGAATGAAGTGGGAAAATGCAACAAGTTTACAAATGAAAAATGATGAGAGTGTTCAGATCCAAATACAGTCACCCTGTACAACGTCTGCACTATTAAAATAGAGAGAGGAAGGGAGAAGGGGATAAAACTGACTTAAACAAAAAAAAATTCTGCAGAGGATTATATGTTTTTTATTTAATAAAAGGCAAAATTTTCCTACTAAATTTTCACACTAAATTCAATGAAACTGATTTCCAAGTGGAATAAGAGTTTGAACTCTCTTGTTTTTTGTCTTGCTCTATACCTATCTGAAAATCTATGGAGAGAAGATGAGGCATTAAATTCTCATTTTGTGGTAACTTTTCCATACTTCTGTTCAAGTGCAGCCTGAGAGAAATCAGTAATAATGTTCCCTGGATATCTCTCTAGGGTAATTGTTTAAGCTGCTTGGGGCAATAGTGCTTCTTGTCCTTTCAGCTGCCTCCCATAATCAATGTGGAAAAGTAGTTCTAGGAGGAAAAACAGACTTTTGGTCAAAATTCTGACCAGAAAGCCATAGCCAGCTGGGAAAGATAGTCTGCCATATCTAGGAAGTATGGCATGGAAGTCAAATGATACAATGCCCTTTGTTGCTGTGGCAGCTTTTTGTCTTGCCTTTTGAAAAAGGAGAAGAGTGCTTACCTGTTGGTGCCAGCTGTAGCCGAGCAGCTCCTTCTGTGCTGGTCTGCGTTCACAGTAGGTAGTGTGGCATCACTGCAAGGACTAGATTCTTTATGAGCTGTATTAGGTTAAAAAAAGAAGCTACCAATGAGATAAATAAAAACAAGTTGGACGAGTCTTGGTGACAAAAGTTTCATTATGTAGTATGATTTCCAGGGAGGAATCATAACCATAACAGTGCCTTATACTCTTAATTCATAATACATTCATCCAAGAATCTCTGTGACTTTACAAGCAATAATTAATTGGTCCTTGCAACACAATTTCAGCAAGGTAAGTAAATATAAATCAAAAGAACAGTAAAAAGGAAGAACAAAGCTTATGTTTATAATCAAGTGAAAAAGTATTTGGCAGAACAAGACAAGGAACTTGATATGAGGTTGGTATTAAAAATGACAGACATTATGTAAATTAATATATTTGTGAGTTGTCCTTCAGAGGAACAAGTCATATACGGTGTCTATTGAAAATTTATCTGGAGTTGCTTCAACAGTATGTAGAAATGTATTAAAGATTAACAATGAAAAAGATATTGTTGATATTTAGTTCAGAAGGATGTGTGAAAACAATTTACTACTATACCCCCATCAGTCCATTACAGTTTCTTTGATCGACCATTGTTTTAAAAACTCATTGCTATATAAGCATATGTGACAGCCTTCCAAAATCAGATTACATTAATTCTCCAGTTCCATTGAATAAATTTGCAATTATATGAGAAGAAAAAAAAGTGATGTAAGTCTTATATACCCAGTTAAGATTATAATATGTATTAAATATATTATATATGTAACCCTTGATGAGTAGTAGTTGACTGTATAATTGGCACTTAACTGAAAAGCTTTAAATTTACAATACTTATTTCATTCCTTGTTTAATTGTTGGCACTGGCAGAGTTTAATGAGGAGGTTTCTGAAGTCTTAAATCTCTGTTTACATTAACATAACCACCCCTTTCCTTAGTAGAAAGCATAAGGATCTAAAAAGAATTTGGTATTGGAGAAAAATACATAGTTGAGACAATACATAAATAAGTAACTTCCCCTTTTAGCTTTCATAATTACTTTGAATGTTCTATTAGCAATTAATCCAACAGTATAGAATTCTGCAGCAGTTCCTTTTTTTTACAAACCTTAGAGCCCTCTTTGACCACGATTATCAAAACATCACAGTTGTCTGCCATTTTGAGGTGAGAAATACGTGGAAATTAAATAGACATTTCACATTTAAAATCCATAACCTCCTTGGAAAAAATGACTAAAGCCACACGAATGTAAGCCACATCCTTACTCAAAGCAGAGAGGGCAGGACAAGAAACAATGGTTGGAAACTGACCAAACAGAGAAGCAACCTAGAATTAAGGAGAAACTTCCTGACAATGAGGACAATAACCAGTGGAACAGCTTGCCCTCAGAAATTGTGGGCACTCCATCACTGGAGATTTTAAAGAAGAGACTGGACAGTCACTTGTCTAAAATGGTATAGGTTCTCCTGTTTGAGCTGGAGGCTGGACTAGAAGACCGCCAAGGTCCCTTCCAGCTCTGTTCTATTTTGTTCTGTTCTGTTCTATCCAAATTGAAATCAAGAAACAAGTCATGGGGGAAAAAAATCTCCCTCCCACTCTTGAAATAGTAATAGAAAATCATCTGTCCTTCCCCCTGAGTGTCTGTCAATCTACAATAGTGCATATACCATAGTGTCTTGGTATTTTGACTTACAAGATGATTTCTACATTTGATATCTTTGCTTGCATTGAATAGCATGGTCATAATGAAATGAAACTGGCTCTTGCTTGCACTGCGACATATTGGCAAGAATGTATCCAACCTAGCAATACTACAATTACCATTAGCAGGAAATGCTGCATGCAGTACAGGTGTAATTAAGGTTGAGCACCTAGTCTACACCTTCTCTATCTCACTACAAAAATTATTGGAAAGTCTCTATTGACCAAAGCCACAATGGGCAGCACAGTTCAATATCTAAGGGCTGGTAATGTTCACATTTTCCATAGGGAAAATTGCAACTTGGAATGCAAGAAAAGTATTGGTAAAGAGTAATAAAGAAGAAATTAAATGAGAGAAAGAAAAAAATGTGTTTTCTCTAAAACTAAGATGTGAACAAAAGTAGTCTGATTCTTGTAGAATTGATAAATGCATGTAAAGAATGAAGGTTTAGGTTTAATTATGAATTGAAAGAACTAAAGTGTGTGATGGAATTTATGGAGTGGTAGCATACAGATTCTTTTGTCTGCATAGAGTCTATGCATTGTTAATGCTTGCATATCACACTCCAGTAAAGAAGAACCTGAGAAATTGTGCAACATTTTAAATGAACACAAATATGATTTCGTTCAGTGGAATGAGGGAGTAGGAGCAAGACAAGAGACTATTTAGAAATACCCTCCCAATCCCCTTGAAAAAGGAAATGGTGATGGTAGACAATTTACTTTAAAAAAAAGTCTTTCCTTTAGAATACTGTACATTATGTAAACATAAGTACATTCATTTGCTTAGTAATGAATATCATTCTAAAGGTGCGGCTCATTTGACTGTTTAATATTGAGAAAAATGAAATAAATAAGAATGCAAAGGTAATGAGAGCATATGAATGAAGGACAAACCATCTGGAGGGAAGTGTTAAGAATTGACCTGAGGTTATTTGAACAGATGATTTTTTAACATATGTTATGTTAAGAAAGATAAATATCTTCTATCAAATGTAATGATAATATTTACAGCTACAAAATTTATTAACAAACGAACCAGAAACATTTCCAGCTTCTAAGAGACCTGAGATTCTAGAACAACTTATTAAATTCCTTAAACCTAAAAAAAACCAAAAACCTTACTACAGGTACTTCTTAACTTACAACCACAATTAAGCCCAAAATTCCTGTTGTTAAGTGAAACATTTGTTGAGTTTTGCCCCATTTTACAATCTTTCTTGCTGTAGTTGTTAAGTGAATCATTGTAGTCATTGAGCTAATGACACGGTTGTTAAGTGAATCTGGCTACCCATTGACTTTGCTTGCCAGAAGTTCGCAAAAGGTGATCACGTAATCCCAGGACACTGCAACCTTCATAAATAGGAGTCATTTGCCAAACGTCTGAATTTTGATCACATGACCATGGGAATGCTACAATGGTCATAAGTGTGAAAAACAGTCATAAGTAATTTTTTCAGTACTGATGTAACTTTGAACAGTCACTAATTGAAGTATTGTAAGTTGAGGACTTGTCAGGTCCCCAAATCTTTATTGTCTTCCTTGCATATACACTCTTGTGTTTTTGTTTTGGGACCTGCCATTCTGCTGGGGGGAGTGGGGATATTTGCTTTCCCTTGGCATAATTTTCGCTTTCTGCTTTCCTTCTTTCACCTCCATCCACTTGAGAAAGGAATGTGTCTCCCTTATCAGGAAGACAGTTACAGAGAAACGAAAGCTGGAGAAGACCTTGAGATGCATGCCAACTGTGTCACCTGTGGATTGGCTGGATTTCAAATGGACATTATGACTTTGGTAGGAGGAGGAATATTGCTGGTTTAAGTATACCGTTTAAGCAGGATTTTCCCCAGATCTCACCTTGACTTCTCTATTGTCACTAATCCCTAATAAAAGTTTCCTTTTGAGACAATGCCTATTTCAAGAGTTCTGCTTTCTTGGGTGGTTAGCTGAGGTGGATCCTTACAGGACTAGCTGTATTAGTTTTTATAGGTATTTGTTATAAATAAATTGATTTGACATGCCGATTCTAAGAAACAAGTGGAATAAAGAATTAGAGGTCCCTATATTGCTAAGAAGATGGGAGAATGTTTTAACTTCTCTACCAAGAGTGTCAATGGACTTCAAATTATAACATAAGCAAAAAATATTATTTACAATTTATTGGACTCTGTTATGTTGTAAGATGGGGTTACATTCACTTAACACTTAGCTATAGAAATTTTGGGCTGATTGTGATTGTCAGTTGAGGACTACCTTTATATAAATATAATTGTGTAACAAAAGCAATTTTTTCAAATGATAATATTTTCTTGAACTTGGAATTTGACAACTGGATAACGTAAATGGATTCTATGTGCCTTATCATGGTCAAAATACTAATATTGCAGCAATGGAGAGATATTGTGGCCCCCTTCACTCAAATTGACCAAAGACCTAATTATACCTATGAATGGATTTACCTATAGACCAATATTTCTCAGCCTCAGCCACTTTCAGCATGCACTTGCCAGCCCTTTAAAGTCAATAAGCTATTCCGCAACCAGCTGTTTATCCAACCATGCTGTCTGGGGAATTTTGCTAGTTCAAGTCCACACGTCTGAAAATTGCTAAAGCTGAGAAACGCTGCTGTAGATATAAATTTTGTATAGACAAATATAATGAAATACAGGACCAATTTTTAGAAAATACAGTAGGTTAAAAAGATTGTTTTACAGTATTAGAAACATATATGTATTTGAATAATAATTACACTAGATAACTATATATGGAATTATAATTATTTACTGCTAGAATGATATATCATACTCCTTTTCCCCTTTGCTGTACTTTTTCCACTTTTTTAAAATAAAATCATTATTTTAAAAGCAATAAAAGAATAAATTTAAAAAAGATTGGGGAAAGAGGGCACTGAAAAAAGAGAAAGAATCTAGAATAAAGATAGAGCAACCACAAAAAAAATTAAGAAATCTCTATTAAAAGGTATCAGAAGACAGATTAATCTTAATGAAATGAATGGAAAATGGACATAAATTAAAAGGGATACAGAAATTTCCTGGAGTAAATTGAAAAGAATTACAATATATTGCAGAACACTGTAAAATTATGTTAATTAAATTATAAAAAGGATACTAGGTGGAATAATAAGGTGAAAGAATCTGTGAGTGACACAAGTTGAATGCAAAGAAAAATAACTATGAAAAAATACTGTATAATGTATCTAAAGAAGAAGAATATTTGCAAGGAATGTAATCAAAGAGAATAAGAAACAATTACAACTGAAAGAGGAAATTTTGACAGAAATAAAATTTTGTTTTGGAAATCAGTAAGGAGAGCTAAAGGACCTTCCAAAGGAGTTAACAGGATTAAGAATAAAAGTAAGGAATTGAAGGTGGCACAGAACTGGAGTGAGGAAATGTTGGAAAGGATATTTTAAAGCTAGTTAT